GTGAGAACGGACGAGTTCATTTCAAGGCTGTCAAGTTCCAGTTCTGTTCGTACAGCAGGAGAAGCGGTGGTGCACATGACAGGACACAGGCCTGGAATTTAGGTGGAAAAGTCAGGGCAGGTAACAGTCATAGATAGAAGTAATCTGGGACACAGAAGGCAGAGTAGAACAGGGAGAGATAGACCAGGAAATGAGAGGGGACATTAATTAAGGCTGGCAAGAAGTCTCAAAAACATTTCTCAATTCTTTGAGGCCAGAGCCAGGAGCAAGGGCCAGGAGCAAGGGCCAGGAGCCAGGGCCTAGGGCAGCAGATGCTGAATGGCCCCTTTCCTCCCCAGTAGGATGCAGGCACTCATAGCCAGTGTGTGCTGTTTGTTGTTCTCTAAGGCCTGGTAGATGAAGGAGGCTTTGACTGGTCTACAAAATATGCAGGAGTCCCAGAGTGAGGGGCTGCCACAGAAAGCTTACGAGCTTTCCATTAAGCAAAGATCAGCCAGGGCTGGACATAGAGAGGGTTTGTCAGAACAGGCAAGGGCAGGAATACATTTCCCTGTAGGTTGAGGAATGAGGACATGGTAGAAAGGATGGTGCGTGTGTACGTGTACGCGTGTGCGCACGTTAAGTTGGAATTTCCCAGTGAGCAGATGTCAGATGCGCCCCTGAGAGTTCAACAAACAAAACTGATGGAATTGTTGCTTGAAACATGAACAGAGAGAAGTTTGCTACTGGGATATACTCTCTGCCTTCACATTCCTTCTTGCTGGGTGCGTCCTAGAGACAGCGCAGCCCACTAGAAGCTCTTCTGGAATCAGCTGACCTGGAATCCAGGCTCCTTAGAGCTAGGTTATCTTTGAACACTCATTTATTTGAGCGTCATCTTTTCATCTACCTACTCAGGCTTTGGTAATATGCAACTTGGGCAGTTTTAGGGATTAGAAATGCTCTGTACAAAGCTCCTAGTACATAGAAGGTGCTTATACAGTAGCTATTAACATTATTGCTATTACCACACTGGAGTAGGGTGACCTGAGACATTGTGAAGTTTTACTGTCATTGAGGGATTTGTTACCAGCTGGGATAAAGAATCTGAAAGCTAAGATTTTGTTCATTATTCTTTCCCATTTGTCAAAGGCAGGCAGTTCTCAGATTCCACTACCTAGTCTCCTTTGGCAGTACTCTGGCACACAAAGAAAATCATGCCACAAACCTTTTGTCTGCTGCTGATTTACAGAACAGCTTGAGAAAACACTGATGGTGTGTCTCTGGGCATCATCCCATCCCATCTATCCAAATTTCAGAGGGTATCTCTAAACGATCCAAACTCCCCTTTCAAAACCTCCACGACTTGGGCCTGGTGGCACAATGTCCAAAGTTCCAGCCCTCTGGAACCTGAAGCAAGGAGGATCTCTTGAGTCTGGGGATTTGTGAACAACCTGGGCTACAGAGTAAAACCTAGACTTTAAAAAAGTGTCATAGCCCAAAATGAACAATTCCTTGTATCACAAAATCTCAGTGTTGCACCTATGGGTTCAGGAGGACGGAGGTATGGAGTATTGAGGAAGGTCAATAATGAGTTGGGGGTCACCCTTGAAGCTGTCTGATAGGTGAATGAAGCTTCATTATATCCTCTCATTTCGCACATACATAATTTCAAATTGAAAGTTTCTTTTAAGCAAATGATGCTGTCAAGCACTGGATTAAAAACAAACCATCATTTGCTTTCATGGGGTTGTATCCTGTTGATCTCACTCAAGTCTGTAGAGTAGGGTTATGTCTCTGAGAGGCTAAGACAGTGACATGCTGGGACTAGAGCTCATACATCCCTGCTATGGAACCAGAGTGAATTGCCTTGCTTGAGGTCAGCTCGGCTGTGCAGTGGGCAGAAAAGAATCTGGGCAAACACTGTGCAGGTGTTGGAGAGTGCTGTTTTGTAAGGAGACCGTGGCGACAATGCACCATTGCTGTAGGATGACCCACTAGGATGGGTGGTAACGTGCCAACTGTGCCAATGAGCCAACCAGAGGCCAGAAGGAAGTGGAGGCTCTTTTGGAGTTCAGATAACAGAGAAGTAACTTCAGTTCCAAAAGTCCCTTCTTTTCAAGTTGCTTTAAATGACAAAAGTGAACATTTTGTTTTGGGTGACAGATTCCCAAGAATTGAAACTAACCAGAACACTTACATTTCCGGTTTTAAGTCATTCCTTTAGCCTCCTGCTCAGTGTTTCTCAAGGGGGTCTTGGGAGGAGCAAAAGTGGAAAGGACATTTTATTATGGCATGCCTTGAAAGGAAGCGTTACTCCACACTGGTAATGATGTACACATCTGGAATCCCAGTGCTCAGGGGAGGCAAGAATTCTTTCTTAATTTTTTTATTTAAATTAGAAACGAGCTTGCTTCACATGTTGATCCCAGCTCCCCCCTCCCCTGCCCCCCCAACCCCCCAATTCCCACTCCGTTTCCCAGGAAGGGTGAGGCCCTCCATGGTGGATCTCCAGAATCTGTCATATTGTTCAGGGCAGGGCCTAGGCCTTCCCCCCAAGAGTCCAGGCTGAGAGAGCATCCTTCATTGTGGGATGGGCACCCAAAGTCCATTTGTATGCCAGGGATAAATACTGATCTGCTACCCAAGGCCACATAGATTGCCTAGGCCTCCTCACTGACACCCATTCAAGGGGTCTGGGTCAGCCCCATGCTGGGGGAGGCAAGAATTTAAGGCCACTCAAGAACAAAAACATTGGAAAAGACGAATGTGATTCCCCCCCTGTCCCTCCCTTCCTTGCCGTGATTTGATTTATTAAAGCTTACCTGAGGATTCAGAAAGCAAAGCTAGCCTCAAGCCATAGAGATTAGTCCTGTAATCACAGGACTCAAGATAAAGGCAGATGATCTGAGTCTGAGACCACCCTGGGCTACCAGGGAATAAATCAGAACTCACACCTTTAATCCCAGGATTTGATAGGTATAAAAGGTAGAGGTATTCAGTCTTAGGACTCTCTCCTCCAGCCATGCTGAGGAGAGGCAGAAAGCAGTCTGAAGCTTGGTGGAGAACTCGTGGATCAGCCCTTTCAGCCTGAGGTAGAGGTAAGAGCTAGTTGCTGGCTGTTTTACTTTTCTGATCGTCAGCTTGAACCCCAATATCTGTCTGTGGGGCTTTTATTTTTTATGCTACATTTCTTCCCTCAGCACCTCTGTTTTGCTTTCTTTTGACAGTGTTATGTAGCCTAGGCTGGCTTCAACTGGCTAACGCTAGCCTTGAATTCTGCCTCCACCTCCAAGTGTTGGAATTGTTCTTGTGTACCTCTGGACTTTGTTTCTTTTTTCAGTCAGGATCCCATTATGTAGTTCAGGCTGGCTTTGAACTTGAAACCCTCCTATCTGAGCCTCCTCTGTGTTGGGATTATAGGTGTGCACAGTGCACTGGCCCACCATTTGCAGACCTAACTGTCGTCTATGTGAGAGCCACAGAAGGCAAATGCTTTCATCCAACTTAGGCATTTGCATGCTTGGCTTCACTTTGGGACAGACAAGTCACTGATTCATCGCTCTGAGGTAGTTTCTGACAATGGAGAATGGAGATAGACCTTGCCTGACAGCATATGGGAATGAAAACAAAACCAGCATATGTATGAGCACAGAAATGCAGACACACACACACACACACACACACACACACACACACACACACACACACACACACACACACACACGATAAGCAGAACCGAGAAGCTGTATTGCTCCTGTCAAGTGCATCAAGAAGCCCTGGTTCCTGGAATTCACCCAAACCAGCTGCCTCCGGGACCCTGGATGGCCTGGCTCTGGTGGGAGTAGAGAAGGTGGGTGCTTTTTTGGTTTCTGAGCAGTGAGACATCAAGCACAGAGTGCTGAGGAGAATGGAGGAAGACGGGTTGCTCACCACCTCCCTCTGGCTGGAGCTGAGGGAGTAGAGGCGGGAAACTGGCACAAGCTTTTCTTTGCTGAGTCAACTGAGAAGGACCCTGTAAGTTCCAGTAGTGTTTAAGTGGCAGGTTTAGTTTTAAGGATGCTCCCACCAGGAAGCTGACCAAAGACATGTGACTAAAAGCATAAGGAACCCGAAAGCACAGGCTGGGCTTGAGGAAATCACTCTGCTTAGTCCATCCTGCTGTGTATGTAGCATGGGGACAGTATTCCTGTCTTTGCAAGCCATTTGTGCTAATAGTGGAGAAAGTGTCTCACAGTAACGGCCCGTTACCTAACAATCTGCTTTCCCTTCCTACTGGACAGACCGGTCATAGCCCTGATACCAACATAGAAGCCTTATTCTCCAGTTGCCTGACTTTTTTGTTGTGTTTTGCATTTGTCTATCTATTTTTATTAATTTATTTTTTTACATTCCAATCCCAGTTCCCCCCTCTTCTCCTCCCACTTCTCCTACTCCCCCCCACCTCCCATCTGCTCCTCAGAGATGGTAAAGCCTCCCCTAGGAAATCTACTAAGTCTGTCCCATCATCTCATTGAGGCAGGACCAAGGTACTTCTCCACCTCCCAAATCCCTGTGTCCAGGCTGGTAGTTGTCTGACTTTATTACGGTGGTTGCCATGACTCACTTAATCATCCCAGACCTAGGCGACCACGTCTACACCAACCGAAGAAAGACACTTTTTGTTTTTTTTTTGTTTTTGTTTTTTGAGACAGGGTTTCTCTGTAGCTTTGGAGGCTGTCCTGGAACTCACTTTGTAGACCAGGCTGGCCTCGAACTCACAGAGATCCTCTGCCTCCCGAGTGCTGGGATTAAAGGCGTGTGCATGAACCCACATAGGTTGTCAAAGCCACTTGTCAAAGTCAGGATCAGAACCCACTTTGGTGGTCTGCCTCTTGGGTTTCCATGTGTGTGGAGGCTCACTGAAGTTGGAGCTTACAAAAAGTACAAACTCATAAAGACTCAGACAAAGGTGTAACTTGAACTGCCTAGTTTGCAAACAAATAAAGATCAGGGTGGGGTTCTAAGGGCAGAGGACAAACCTGTGGCTAGAGGTAGCCTGGCAACAACTGGAGGAGGGCTGAGAACACTGCTTCTAGCTGTGTAGGGAATTTCATCCATGCTCTACCAGCTTCAGGAACCTCTGTGTGAGGGGGAGATGGATCCTTTATTAGGAAGTATACAAATATATTATTGGTAGCCTTCTTGCTGTCACCACCCACGAAACAACCTCCTCCTCAGCACCTGACAGCCCTCCCCTCCCTACCCCATAAACAAGAGGGAATTGAGTCTCTGCAAAGCCTTCTCCTCAGCTAGACTGCAGGAGCTAGAATAGGAGGGCTGAGTCATCTTCCCCTTCAAAGGAAACCAAAGTGGACTGGAGCCACAGAACAAAAGGATGTTCTCTAAGTGATCATAGGCTGCTCTTAGAGGGTACCAACCCCTCTATCCCAGAAAGTTCCCACTTCCAGCCCCATGGGTGCCATCCCTCTCCTCCACATCTATTTATTAATCAACAGGAGTGTACTAGACAGCCAGCTAAGCTAGCAGAGGCACCCATTCCCACTGCACCAGCTATGGAGACAGCCACATAGACAAGGAGGTCCAATGTGGTTGGAGATGGCTGCCTTTCACCTTAAGGCTTAGGCTAGGGTTCTTGGGAGGGTACAGGATGAATCTTCAGAGCATCCTCTCTGGAGCTCTCATTTCTTGTGGTCAGTGGAAGGACTAGTTGGTAGGAATTTTGTAACAGAGGCTTTTTATTTATTTAGAGACAGAGTTTCATGCAGCTAAGACTGGCCTCACTCATTATATAGTTAAGGATGGCCTTGAACTTCTGAGCCTCCTCCTTCTACTTCCCAAGTGCTAAGATTACTGGCATGAGCCAGCATACTCATGAGACTAATTCTTTAAGGGTCCCTTCACCCACAGCTCTAATTCCTGAAATCAGTGCTTTGTAGCAGAGACATTCTTCTGCCATCTCTTCATGCATAGTGTTATTCCAGAGCATGGGTGCTGCTCACAGGGCTCATACCACGCCTAACAGGAAGGAGAAAGTATGGGCAGTTCGGATGCCGGGCAATTCTTGCTCACAATGAAGGCATATGACAAGGATTTCTAGACACTCAAAGACCCACGGCTAAACCCTGCTGCTCCCCCACCACCAACAAAACCAGCTGATACCCACACTTGTGCATAAGCCCACATAATAGAGGGGGTTTTATTACTTTTTAAGAGAATGAATTCATACTGTCATAGGTTACATAGAGCCATTTCTTAGAGCTCTTTTCTGATCAACTAAGAAATCAGAATACACCATGAAGAGAATTATTAAAGTCAAATAAAACCTCTGGCCATTACCTAGGGTACAGCAATTATTTGACACTATTGAATGCAAAGCAAGACTCCGCCCGGCTGCCTTCACAGCGCCCTGCTGAGGTTGTCCTTGGTGTGCGCCACATTATCCTTCCGCCCTTCAGGAAGATTAGCCCATGTTCTGTCGGTTGCCATAGCCCCTGGGATGGGTGTCCTTCCAGTCATCCCACTCTCGCTGTCTGTGCAGCGTTTTCTCTTCACCCTCGTCATCCTTTTGTTCTTCATCTTCCTGCTGCTGTGCTGCTAACGCAGGAAAATGAGAGAGAGAGAGAGAGAGGGGGGGGGGGGGGAAAGAAATGCAAACAAATGACATTAGGGAGTTCAGCTTTGCTCTGAACACAGCCACAGACAAGGAGAACAGAGCACAGCTAGCTGCCCAGGCATGGCATAAATGCAGAGAACATATCTATTACTGAATATATTACATGCTATGCAAAGGTAGCAAGTAAAGACGCCTCCAGAAATTTTCACAGAAGCCAAGATCATAGAGGTATTCTCCACAAATGGATTCTTTTGGGAAAGAATTCTTGCTAAATGACCATCAATCCCTTCATCAAAACAAAAACAAACAAAACCAACCCCCCCATACCGCCCACACCAGCAACAAAAAAGTCCCTAAAAATCTGAAATCACAGAAGTTAACAATTATATATGATTTGTGAATTTCCTGGGATGTGGCAATCACAGGTGATTATTTCTCTACCAGTTTGCTGTATTCATTTAAGGTTAAACAAATTAGGTATATGTATCTCTGTTAAGAGTTCACGAACACTAGGAGCCGTCAGAGGGCGAAAGAGGGCAGAAAATCCCCTGGAACTGGGGCTGCAAGCTGCTGTGAGCCACCACATGGGTACTGGGAACTGAACGTGCTCTTGCAGACAAGAGCAGTGAGTGCTTTTACTTGGTGAGCCATCTTGCCAGCCCCAACGTCCTTTATTACAGTCACCAATCTTACCATGGATTTATTTTCCTTGGATTTGTTAATACTACAGAATTCTTATACTGTCAACCATACTTAAGAATCAAATGAAAGAAATGGTGCCATGGACAGTTTCTTCCATTCTGACATTTGATTTGTGTGCTTTCTGTAATTTCACATTCTTTGAGACATTTTTAACAAGAGCTGAAATTTAATTGCTGTAGCTCTTCAGTTTTCCAGTAATTTTGCATTAAATAAACTTCCTCACATTTATCTCAGTTCACATCTCAATAACACAACACCCACACGATTTTCTGAGAAAAATATGTATACTTTGGGGCTGGGGAGATAGCTTAGTGCTAGCTGCACATGCTTGAGGGCCTGAGTTCAGATCCCAGCACTGACACAACAGTACGTGACTGCATTTCCCTCAATGGGGAAGTGAAGACTGGCAGATCTCGGTGCTCATTGGCAAACCAGCTTAGCCAAATTGATAAGCTGAAGGTCCAGTAAAAGACTCTGTCTCAAAAACTAGACAGTGATTGAAGGAGACACTTGATGCCTGATATCAACCTTTGACCTCCACTTAGACACATATCCACCTCACAAACACATATGATACATACAAAGACACAGACAGAGAGAGACAGACAGACAGGGACAGAAAAAGACAGACGGTCAAACAGACAGACACACAGACACAGACACAGACACAGACACACACACACACACACACAACAAGGCCATAATAGTCAAACTGGATACACGGACTGAAGGAATGAAATAAGAAGAGATCCTAGAAGTAAATTCAAGAACTATGGCAGATCTTCAACAAAGGAACATACCCAGGGAAGTCTTTGCAGTGAATGGTAAGAAAAAATTGGCTGCCTACATGCAGAAGAATGAAACTAGACCTCCACTTTTCCATTACAAAGATCTAGTGAAAACTGTTACATATTAGACTGAAAATATGAACTTGCAAGAAGAAAACCTAGGAGAAAATACCTCAGACACTGGAAGATGTAGGAACTTTAAAACTGACTTCTTTGTTTTTTAATTTTATTTATTTAGTGTGCTTCTGAGGGGGAGGTTTGCCATAAAATGACAGCTTATAGGGGGTGTTTCTCTCTGTCCTCCATGTAGGTTCTGGTGCCTTTACCAGCTGAGCCATCTTGCTGGCATGCAAAGAGTTTTTGGATAAAACCCCCAAAGCATTGGAAACAAAACCAAAAATAGACAAATGAGATTACCTCGAATTATAAAAGTTTCTGCATAGTCAAAAAAAGGATCAACGGTGAAGAAAGAGACCACCTACATGTTTAGAGAAAAGTCTATATCTAATAAGGGGTATAAATCCAGGAAATACAAAGAACTCTGAAAACTCAATAGCAACAAAACAAAACAAACCCTCTGAATAATCTAATCTTAAAATGGGCACTAGACTTAAGTAGACATTTCTCAGAAGAAGACATATACATAACCAACAAATGCATGAAGAAATGGTTAACATTATTAGTTATTAGAGAAATGTAAACCAAAACCACAATGAGACCTAGCCATTTCAGTTAGAATGTTTATCATCAAAAAGGAAAAAATAAGTTCTGGAAAGGATGTGGGAAAAAAGAACCCTTGAGCATTGTTGGTGGGTTATATAAATTAGTATGGTCACTGCAGAAAACAATAGGGAAATTAGCTAAAAATTAAAAGCAGAACTACCATATGATCTAGCAATCCTGCTACTGGGCAAAAGAAATGACATCAGAATGCCAGGCGGTGGTGGCGCACACCTTTAATCCCAGCTCTCAGGGGCCAGAGGTAGTTAGATCTCTGTCAGTTCGAGACCAGCCTGGTCTACAGAGTGAGTTCCAGGACAGCCAGGAGTTACCCAGAGAAACCCTGTCTTGAAAAACCAAAAAGCAAACCAAAACAAACAAAAAAGTAACCAAAAAGAACATCAGTCTTTCAAGGAGACATTTGCACTCTCATGCTCACTCACAGTGTAAAAAAATGCAATCTACCCATCATCTGAAGAATGGTTAAAGAAAATGTTACAGCTTCATAAGGGAACACTGTTCAGAGACTTAAAAAGGATGAGTGTCTTACCATTTGAAGTGACATGGATAGAACTGGAGAGCATTAAATGAAATAAGCCAGCCATAGAAAGGAAAAGTACTGCACGATCTCACTCATACATAGAATCTAAAAGGTTGATAGCATAGACGTTGAAAGTAGAATAGTGGTTACCAGAGGCTGGAAAGAGTACAGGAGGGGGGGGGGATGGATGGTCAATGTGTACTAAGTTACAGTTACACTGTAGGAACACTTTTGGGATTCTATTGCATAGAATGGTAACCTTAAAATAATGATAACATACTAATAAAAGCTATGGGAGGCCTGAAGGTTAAGCTCAGTGTAGAGTGCTTACCCAGCATATGTGAAGCCCAAGGTTCCAAACTTACAGCCACAAAAAGAGAAGGGAAAAGCTTGGATTTTGAATGCTTTCTTTTGGATATCTGCCATTAGTAGGACTGCTAGATCATATGGTATTTCTATTTTTATTTTTTTAATTAAACGACATGATGTTTGTGGAGACCGCTATGTTTATCCTGATTTGAAAACATTATACAATATGTATGTATACTGAAACACTGCATGATACGCATAATTTATACATCCTTTTTCTATGTCATTACATTCTATGAATAACTGTTTTCCAGTCACGACCACTGCAGTTGTCTGAACCTCATTTTCTAGCAAAATTTTCAGGGAGAGATCATGGGAATAGTATTTCTTAGTTCCTGGATTCTGAAAACTATCTGTACTCTTTGTACTTAAAAGTTGTTTTTTTTTAAATCACATACAATGTTCTTGGCTCCTATTCTTCCTGTTTGGGAATTTTAAAATATTTGCTACTTTATTTTTTCACAGTATGAAGCATGCCATAGTTCACAGGCAAGCTAAGACTTTCCTTCAGAAGTAAAGCACATGCAAAATGTTGAGATATCTATGACATTTAAAAGTAAAAAAATCTAGTATCTTTATTTCAACTAGTCTTAGTCATTCTGGGTGAAAAATTTCAAGAACATAATGTTTTTTATTTGTTTGAGTTTTATTTTTTTTCAGACAGGGTCGATATCCTGCAGGTTGGCCATATACTTCCTGGGTAGCTCAGGCTGGTCTGCTGCCTCAGTCTGAATGCTAGGTTTATAAGTGTGTGCTATCATGCCCAGCCTTATATCCAATTTCCCTCCTTGCCTTGGTTTTCTTGTTTGGATAATCCCATCAACCATATGGCAGCTCTTCTTTGCTGTCTCTAGTAGTTATTTTATCCAGAATCCTCTTTATCAATTTCTTTATAATTTTGTTTAAAAAATATTTCAATCTTTTTTCATACAATATATTTTGATCACATTTTCTTCGTTCCCAACTCATCACCTGTTTTGATTTTTACCTTTTTTGTTGATTTTCTTAATTTTTTTTCTTTTCTACCTGGTAGGACATTTTCAGTTTTTACTCATTTTTGTTTCTTTCTACATTAGCATTTCCAAGTCTCCCTACTCTATTTCAGATGGTCCCTCTGTGGTCTATGATACTTTCCAAACAGTATGTTACAACTCATTTTAAAACATTCTTTCATATTTGTTCTTTTGTTTTTGTTTTGAAACAGGATTTCACCATAGCTGAGGCTGACCTGGAACACTGTGTAGCTAAGGATGTCTTTGTACTCTGGTTGTCTTGCCTCTGCCTCCCAAATGCTAAGGTCACTCCTGGA